TCTTCGCGTAATTAGGTGTTCGTATGCAAGGGATTTTTCCACACAAAAACGACGAATTCGGCCGAATTTTTTTATCGGTTGGCTTAATATAATCCCAACGGACCGTATTTTTGTGAAAGATTGGTATTTTTGTCCTGATTTGTAGGAATCTGAAAAACGCGTTTCACAACTTGTCTCTTAATTAGTTTTATGCGTCATTCAAGATGGCGGCCCCCATGTAGTAAATATCGTATTTATTTTATTATCACGTGTGCGCCAGCTGATTGTGGTAGCAACACCATTATATGGCTGAGTTTCATTCAAATCCAATACACTGAAAGACATAAAGCTGGGGATGTTATAAACGCTTTATAAATATATTTTTTTATAAATCAAAATGATTGTTAGAATTCAAATTGAACAATCAAAAAACATGATCACGAGTTCTAATTAACAATGATAAATTATTTCAACATCATCCAATGAACAACCCTTCATTTTGAATAAATGGGCGGTCGCAGTTGCTTTGCACTTGAAGGCTTGCGCGTGCATTATGGGCGTAGATAAAGTGGAGCTCTGGAGCCAATCACAGTTTTTGAATTTGAATGAAAAACTAATGGTCATTTTTTACGAATTGTTATAAATATGTTTAAAAAATAATGTACAGCTTTCTTCTTGTCGCCTGGATTGGCTATAATCTTTCGCGCGGTGTTTCACGATGACCGCAAAGCCAATCAGTGTTGGTATTTACGTCTACGCACACGCGCAGACTGGGTCGTCTCTTCAGGAGCGAGTATTTATCCACGGCGATGTTACGGCGATCGTTTTCATTGGACAACGGCAGTTTTCAAATTTATAAATGTGTTATGTTTGTAAACAGTAAATATTGTAAACAGCTTTTCTGGAAGCACTGTACAGAATGTTATGTATGTGCATGAGTGATAGATCTGTACACGGACTTCGGCGGTAGTCGTCGCGCTGCGCATGTGCGATATTTGTGTTGATAAACATTGAATTTCCCACAATCCAATGCACTCTTCTATTGGAAATCACAAGTATGAGGTTTGACCTGGGCACGCTACTTGCACTTATTACCACCGGTGACTTCTTCGATACCTTCCACTCACCTAAAAAAAATACCTAATTAAAGCTTGGTAACGTCTCAGTTTGTACTCGTTGATCTGTGCAACAGTCAAAGTCGCCATCTTTGTTTATATAGAGCACATACATATATCCCGCACATGCGTGGCGCGACGACTGCCGCCCTTTAACTTTCTATTTTGAAGTACATATGTAGCGATTCTGACTCTGACTCTGATTATATAGGAATTATTCAAAACAAACGTAT